GATTCATGTTTGTGGCTGTAATGTGACAAAATGTGGGAAAGTTCAAGGGGGCAGAATACTTTTGCAAGCCACTGTATTAGACAAGTTGTAATTATGACAGAAAAAAACAAACAGTGAAGTCCTCAGATTAGTGCTCTCTCTTAAATAAAACCGTTTAGCTAAATTACCTAATATTAGTAAATTAGCTTATTTTTTTACTAATTAATTTACAAGATTAGTCTTTTCCTGAATAGAAAATAACAAGTGATTATACAGTTGTGCAAAATAACAATATTACAAACCTTTGGTGAAGTGCTCTTGTTGGCTGTTGATGAATACAGAAAAATGACTGATCAAACTGACTGGTTAACTCAGACTAATCAGGGCAGGAACTACTGTGGTGGCATGGGGGTGGCATGTGTCATCCTAAAATAGTCTTTCGCCACCCATTGGGCCTCCCTAATTTTTGCATATGATAATGTTGTTTATTTAAATAGGTGAGCCTTAACACTTTGAGACTAGCTACAATAAACACTGAATATAAATTCTAAAGCTAAATATATTGCATAATGTCACCCCGTCCCGCCCAATTTAAAAAATGGTTCAGCCCATAGCTTCTGACTGCTTTATTTCTTTTTTTTCAGTAGCAACTAATACCTATAACTGTAATTAAGATTTCAACAAAGGTGATTAATTGTTGGACTTTGGAAATGCCATGCAGGTGAATGTTATTAATCCAATAAATCATGAAAAATGAGGTTTACATTTTTGTTGAAAACAGGACAGATTTCTGACATTTTGTGTAAATTTAAGCATGTAAGAATTTGATTATTTCTAGAAAAAAACAAAACAAAACAAAAAAAAGATGTGAAACTTAGGTTAGACTTGTATTTATAATGAATGTACGTCATGTTGTATAGCTTTCTTGCCCACACATTCATAGGCTATAAAGTGCACACAATCAAAATTGACATCAAAAACAAAACAAATCAAAATTCACACTTTTTTATGTGGCTTAAATGTTTAGTTATTTGGGCTAAAGTCAATAAGAAAGTTACAGACTATGTTTATTTGAAACGTGTGTATACCTGCTGCATTTGTATTTTAACCATATACAATACTTATTACAGAATGTAACACCTGCATATGTGTAAAGAAATGGCTTTGATTTTGACACTGATTTCCACGACATACTATAAAAATTTCAAAGAAAGAAAAAGAGAGAGACAAAGCAAAAGGGCTGTGTTTTTACCATCAGTGTAACAGCGGCGTAAAGCAGTTTTAAGGCCCAGGGAAATGAACCCGCCAGCACTCTGTAGACTGCTGTGGTTAGGGTGCTCTTCTTAGAGGACTCATGCTCGAGGAGACGTTTTGTGGTTGACTCTGGCAGAAGAGCCTCGGGAACTCTCTTGTTGTCTCTGCATACCTCCACAATGGTATATTATTTAATCTTTAAAAAAAAAATTGTAGATTTTCCGTGTACCCCTGAGATAGTCCAAGTACCACTAGTGGTACATGCACCACAGTTTGAGAAAGACTGCTCTATCACATGTGTTCTACACGCACAGTGGGGTGAATGATGGAAAGAGACGTGTTAAAATGTGGATTGAAGAATCAGAGAGAGGGAGAGAGAGGCCTTGTTGAATCCCCAGCTCCACTGCACACACATGCAACGAAGATCAGCTTATACTCATGAACATGCCCACATCTCTCATCAATGTTAAAGCAAGGAAAACTTAACAGACAGTTTTTTATAAAATATTGAGTTCATCCGCTGCTGATAATTAACGCTCCAGGGTGCAGGACAACTGGTTAATGTTTGTGAAAGGAAAAAAAAAAAAGAAACACCTCTGATTACATGAGAACAAACTTGTTTTGTGAAATACGTCACAGCATGTCACGTTTTATTTTTGGAAAAAAAAAAGAAAAGCCAATAAGTAAATATCATGTGGGGAAAATGAACAGTGGTAATGACTCTTAAGGCTGAGTTCAGATCGAGTAAGCACCAGTAAGTAATTAAAGCCAGAAGCTGTGTCTGCAGCACTGCACATCATGGCACCTGAAGTTTGAATTCCTACAACATATTGTTCTACCAGGAAGCAAAAACTTTTCTGTGAATTATCTGACGGATTTTTCGTTTTTGTTTTTTAGTACTAGGCTGACCATGCCAGTTAGTTTTGGATTCTTTTCTTCTTTTTAAGAGAAATATAGTTTTATTGTTTGGACCTCCTGAAATTGGCCTAATTTGTTTTTTTGTGGACTTAGACAAAACCTGCCAGGGGAAGTTCACTCTGGGATGGAGGAAGATGTAAGAAAGACAAGAGGGGAAGAAGAGAAGTTTGATTTAAAGCAAAATCCTGCAAAACAAACTAAGTATGCTAATATTGTGTTCCCTTTCACTGCCTGTGTCCTAAATAACAGATTCAAGGTGAGTACATTCGTTAGAGTTAGAATTTAGATTTGAAAAATTAGCATTTTCATATATTAATATTACTTTATTGTCATATTAATATAGCAAAAGTTCCAGTTACCTTTGCATGGTTACATTTTGCTTCAAAGTTTAACTGTCATGTATCCAAATGTAAACCACTTGTCTAGTTATCATTTTTCTTACACTGATTATATTTCAGAGCCAGTACCATTTTACTTTTACTTGATTATTGAAGTTGATTCAGTTTTTCAACTTTTATTAACTTTAACTTTTATTATTTAGCAGAAGTATATATACTTTTATTTAAGTACAGAATGTCTGTACTTTGGCCACCTCCGAGTATATCACGGTTGTCATATATATTAACAAGAAATAACACAGACTTCTATGTTAAACAAATAAATGAATGTTAAAGAAATAAATACATTTCATGAGCATTACAGGCTGATTTATTTAATGAAAATGAACAGACAGACTAAATGAGTTATACTTGGAACATTTAACTTGCTAACTTAAATAATATCTTACGCTGTGGAAACTGTCATGTATCCAAATGTAAACCACTTGTTACTGGTTGTGTAACAGAGCCTCAATCAGAAAGAAATGTAATGCTGATTTTGAAATCAATGAATGATTCTTTTCACAAGAAAGTGGCATTGTATAACTGCTTTTAGTTCTATAAAAAAGTAACCTAAATGGACTGCTGTGATTCATAGATTCATACAGTCATGTATCAGATTAATGCTATGGCTAGTAAAAAAGCCCCAACGCATTTTGAAATATTTTTGAAATATTTTGAATCATTTTTAAGATAGTTGTCACAATTGTCTGCCATTTACAGTTTAATTATTTGGTTTCTTATACCTCAGTATTCAAATCTGAGCTATTTTTGCTTTGACTGGTGACCACTGACCCTGTGTAAGTGCGAGTGCGTGTCTCCTCTTCCTGGAAGACAGTCTCCAAAACATTTCGGATGGATTTGCGGACTTTGTCCTTAAAATCATGGCCCATGAACACATACAGCAGTGGATTAAAGCAGCTGTTGAGAAAGGCCAGACTGGTGGCCAGAGGCATCCCGACACCTATGACAAGGTCTAATGTGTTGCTCTGAGTAGCAGACGTGAATTTCACTAGTTCAATTACACCAATTATGTAAAAGGGAGCCCAACACAGGAAAAAAGTGACAATAACAGCAGTGACAATTTTAAACGTGCGTGTTGATTGGCTGGCCATGGTGCGGTTTCTCCTCAGATGATGGATTAGGACAGCATAACAGGAGACAATGACAGTGAAGGGAACTGCAAATCCCAGGCAGAGACGAGTGATAGTCATGGCTAGATGACGAAACTGAATCACAGATAGTGCTGTATAGTTATCAGAAAGAGCATAGTTGCTGAAACAGAGGATTTGGTTTTCAGACATTTTCTCAGTGTCCCTGAAGATGAAATATGGAGCACTGAGAATCAAAGCCACCACCCAAACACACAGACTCACATAGGATGCTTTGCGTACATTTCGGTGGTTCTGTGCCCAGATGGGCCACACCACAGACACACATCTGTCCACACTGATCACCACCAGAATGTAGACACTGGCAAACATGTTCAGAGAGCTTATGGTGGTGTTCAGCTTGCACATGAACTTGCCAAAAGGCCAGTGGAAATCCAAAGCTACGTAAGTCACACTGAGGGGAAGAAATGCAGTGAAGAGGAAGTCAGCCACAGCAAGGTTGAGGTACCAAACTGTGTTAACAGTTTTCTTCATCTTGAACCCAGTCACCCAGATAACCACTCCATTCCCAAGCACACCGAGGACAAAGGCCACCGAATAAAGGATTAGAGACATTGTGTTGAGAGACTGTTTCAGCCCATCATACTTGTCAACATACACAGAGTCATTTTTATCAGGTGCAGCAGTTGTATTAATTTGATCGAAAGAGTTGTTGGTCATCTCCATCAATGTCTTCAGATCTGCATAGAAAAAAACGTGAATTTATGTAAAAGTCATTTTTGATATTGATAATAATTCTGTCTTCACATATTGCACAGAAATATAAATTAATTACTCTTAAATTAATGTTTAATTTATAGTTAGTTATGAATCTTAGACAATAAATGCTCAAAATGAACAGCAAATATAATGCATTTAGCAGTGAAGGTCATCACTTGTAGTTGAGAGCACTGTTTTCAGCTCAAATTAGATTATAATCCATCCATTCAGTGTTAATGGCTACTTCAGTTCATGATTGCACTACTGTGGCAGCAACATTCACAATGTGATATGAAAATTCTTAACTGGCTGCTGAGCATAATGTATTCATGTACTAGTCACAGTTATCAGGAAACTGAAGAGTGTCCAAATCAGCAATGATGTTACAACACTAAAAGAGTATGTCACCGTAATTTCCCAACAATTGAACGCAAACATGAAAAAATAAATATCTGACCAAGAACTTCAGAAAAACTTAAATTATTCTTAAAATTTGCAGTCCTCAAAAAAAAAAAGTATACATTTTTATTTGTTGGAACTGATTGCAACTGAATTAGAAGAAAAACAATGCAGACTTGTGGAATGCAAAGGAACAACAAATGCTATATTCAGAAGCGTCACAGAAAGAGCAATTAAACTTCAAAAATATCTGTACTCATGTTTTATTGATGACATGAAAGCCTTCAGCACTATCAGCCATAAAAATCTAATAGTTATTATTAGTTCTGAACAATGGCAAAAAAGACCTATTATGAAGAACATGCACTTGGAACAAACTGTGGCAATCAGAAGTGACAAAGAAATTTTCACTTCTGGTTTCGAAATTTGTCAAACTCAGAAGTGGTGTGGGGCAAATTTGTGTGTTGTCAGCTGATCTGTTTCCTCTATACAGAGATTATATCTTACGAGATTAAAGGAGTGCTAGGCATTGTGGTTGATGGGCACCTCATTAATAACCCGAGATGTGCAGATGACACTGTAATCAATTCAACATCTACAGAAAACAAATAGTTATTGTATATAAGAAGAGTGAAGAAGTGGGACGGACATTAAGTCCCACATTCATTTTCTTGAATCTCAAGTAAACTTAGACAATGATCATTTCCAAAAAGAAAGACAATGTAGTGCAACATCATACTAAAGAATTCCACACAACAAGGCAATAAGTTTAAATATTTGGGTATTACCGTGAGCAGTGAAGATTGTTACATAAAATCAAGAGGAAATCAAAAGGAAAGAAAGCTACCTCTGCAAAGATTACAGTTGATTGACAAATTTCCTTCAAGACAAGAAAGTGAGTCCTAGATGTCTGCATCACACCTATCTTCATGTATGGAAGCAAAGAAAGACTGACTAATGAAAAGGTTTTAAAACGCGCACACACCAAAAGATCATTAAATAAAACATCAGAGAGAGACAAGCAAGACTCTCTGGACAAGTACTGAGAAAAAGACAAT